TTGTTTTCGATGGCATCGCCCGAGTTCGGCCCAACTCATAGTCAGACTATTTTTTTCAGGGAAATGACTAGCTTCTTAAATATCGTTTCTCCCAAATAAACCTATTTTTGGTTGCAACCCCTTCAGGAGTTCATCTTCTTTTAATCTGATTTCAGATTTAAATACTTTCCCATAAAATTTAGCATTAGATAGGAGATGTAGAAAAAATATACAAAAAAAAAGGAGATTCTAAAGGAATTTCTATTTAAAAATAAACATTTTAAAGGAAATTATAATAAAAAGTGTGAATAATTATAATAATATTTTTCTTCAGCTTATTGCTTACTGCTAATTTCTTTCTAAAGAGCTTTTCTAACATATTTTTCCATGCAATTTTACTGTTTAATGCAACGCGAATTTATGGGGAATTCAATGTGAAAAGCTCGTCTGAAAACGTGTACTTCTGGTGCTAGAGTTTCGTTTGTTTTCTGTTCAACGTCCACAGAATAGATCACACAGCGAACACACCCAGCGAAAGCTGGGTGTGTGCGTGATCAATGTTTTGGATTACCTTGGTTACTGGTTTGGCGTCCAGTCAAAATAAAATATTCACACTTTTTGTTATAATTCCCTTTAGAATGTTTATTTTTACATCGAACTTCCTTTAGTATAAAGATACTTTATTCAAGACCTGAAATAAAGTGCGCTAGATTTACGATTAATACACATGAATTCATACACATAACACGAAAAGGGCCGATAAAAAAGCAAAACGATATAATGTATGTAATGGATAGCACAGATAGCGTTAAAAGTTCACTAGAGCTTTAAGAACAAGATCATCTACAGCTAATTTAAAGGCTTCTAGACTATTGGACTCTCTCAAAACTCTTGGGAATCGATTGCAAATTCTGGCAGTTCTTTTTGGAAAAGAGTTACCGTATTTTCTCTAATAGTAGTGCACCATTAGCGTCGTATAAATTGCAACGAACAATGGAGCTTTTGCGTTTACGAACAATGCGTTCCAGAAAAACCTTTGAAAGTCGGCGCCATTTCATACTCCCCAGCCCAATACTTGGTCTCTCTACAAGCCTGTGAGATCCGATCCGATAAAAGTTCTTAATGATGGTTGCACATTGTTGAATGGGGATACTCTCGCAGGCTTGTGGAATCCAAATTCTCGGATCATTAGTATATTTTGGCTTAAAATGACTTCAAATGGGTTTTTGGATCTCATGCAAACAATTAAAGGGCTTTAATTTCCTTCAATTTCCTTGTGTAATATGTGCAAATTGATCTTGATAAATCAAGCCCAATATTAAACCCAAAATACACTCAAAAACACTCTACACTGTACTTTCGCGGAGTTCGTTTTTAGCTCAATATCTTTTTTCTTTTTTTTCCGCTCAAAAATATTTCTTCTCCGATGCGATAAGCGATGCTCTTTTCTGCTCTTTTCTTTTGAAAATTTCCTTTTTTTTCGCAATGATCTTTTCACCCCGCTTCTGCTCATCTTTTCTATAGAAATTCTTCATTTTTTTGGCATTTACAGTGTTTCTTTTCCAAATTTACATTCTCTTCAATCACTTTTTTGTTTATTTCTCATGTCTTTCCATTTCATATTATTCATATTATTCTTATTATTCATATTATTCATATTATTCTTATTATTCTTATTATTCTATTCTTGGCTCCAGTTTCTCATACATAGAAAACTCATAAAAAAAACTTAACCCAGCGGAAAACGCACTAACGTTCGCGTTTTCCAGCGCTCCTTTTTACCAATGGCTACACACAGACAGACGGACGGACAAACGTCTGCTTTATATAGTTTAACACCTCTACCCGGAAATACCCTCATTCGTTAGCGGCTGAATTTCGTAAACGGCTACGACATATAGGCTTTAACTAGACTTCAGAAAACAAAACTTAACCAAAACCAAAACTACCAAAACCAAAACTACCAAAACCAAAACCATAACAAAACCAAAACCATAACAAAACCAAAACCATAACAAAACCAAAACCAAAACAAACCAAAACCAAAACCAAAACTAACCAAAACTCGCCAATATCTCGCGACTGGGAGGAGCTAGCGAAAATCTGTTTGCAGATTTGAAATCAGCATCCAAAAATCTATCCCATAGGCTATTTTTTGTTTCGAAATTTCGAGGTCGTGTTTTGGTCCTTTTTTCGGCCGCCAGATTTTGTGGAATGAGAAAAAGTGAAAGGCAAATTTGCATTTCACATTAAAATTTGCATTTTACAATTTTAAATTTACATGTTAATTTATATGCAAATTGAGCTTTGGTTTGTTTTGGTTTTGGTTTGTTTTGGTGTTTTGGTTTTGGTGTTTTGGTTTTGGTTTTGGTTTTGGTTTTGGTTTTGTTTGTCGAAGTCTAGCTTTAACCCAAGATACTCAGCTAACAAGCTACAAAACAATAAATGATTTGGGGCGCGAAATAGAATGAAGGCGCACCGATTTCCTCAATATTTCTCCAATTTTTAGGCTGCCAGAGTTAGGTAAGGAAAAACGCATTAACGCATTAACGCATTAACGTTCGCGTTTTCCACGCATCCCGCGCTCCTTTTTGCCAATGGTTACACACAGACAGACGGACGGACAAACAGATGGACGGACAGACAGACGGACGGACAGACGTCTGCTTTATATAATTGATATTTTCGCTGTACGATAGAAAGTCAAAGTCAAATACAGCCAGTCAAAGAAATCGATGTAAATAACTTTGCTGAAAACATTTTCTCTATTTTCCTCTTGTCGATTATCAATCAATCCATCAACTTTTGATCTTTCAACAAAGAAAATCTCAAAATCTCAACCGTCATTGGCCAAATTTCAATGGAATCGCACTTTTTTGGAAAACCAAAACTTTAAAATAACCTTTAATTGTCTAGCTATTGTTAATAGTTCTAAGAAATCAACTATAATTATCATCGATCGATTCTCAATCGACTATCAGGCTTGGAACTATCATTTTGCAATAAGTGCTCATCCGGCTCCAGTTATAATTCTTTGTTTTTCTCCTAATTGAACTACCGTAAATACTGTAATAGTACCCCACCCCCCTCGTACAGTCGGGTAGTCACAAAAGTTTTTTAGTATTTCATTTTTTGCAAAGCGCCCGTACTTTCAAAAAATGCGTCTTTTGTATCAAAAAATAGCCCTGAATTTCAGCTATTTTTTGATACCAAAGCGCGCATTGTAGCATAAACCAGTGTCGAGAAAAACTCGTTCAAAGCTAGACGACGCAACACTCCGTATCGTCATTATGGGGGTGGGGTACTATTACAGTATTTACGGTATGTAAAGGGTTCCAGTTATACTGTGAACTGTGTAAACGGTTTTTCCGTATATTTTCATTTGGAAAACCAAAACTTAATATAACTAGAACCAGAGCTAACGCTAACCATACGAGCTAACAATTCTAACTATTTCAAAACCGGATTTTGCGAAAGTTTACGGTAGACCTATCATTTTTAAAGCACTATATAGAAAAAAAGATGACTGAAAAGTTCTGTCCACATTAGCCGATTTATCTCTATAATAAAACTTGTAAAAGCCTAAAGTGTCTCAAATTTTACGCAATTCTTTAGCACAGCACAATTCTTGCTTTATCTCGAGAGAGTTTTATTATAAAGATACGTCTATTAAAAAGATAGAAAACTAGAAAACTGAAGATACGAAAAGTATGATTTAAAAAACATTTTTACTATTCACCCTTCATCGTCATCTTCCCTTCACCACCAAAAAAGCTATTTAGTTCCCCATTGAGCTTAGGGTTAGGGAGCCGTCTGTCATGACGTGGGTTAAGTTAAGATATAGCCTAGTATTGTGTGTGTCGTTGTATTGTGATTGATATATTTCGTGTATGCGATAAATTCACCACTGGTAGCCCCAGTCGGTATTTTTTAATTAGTTCCTGTGAACCATTTTTTGGTTATACAAACTTGAAAGTTATACAATTTTTTACTTTACGTTAACCATATAAACCTAAAGATACGAAAAGTATGATTTAAAAAACTTTAGTATTATTTCCAGTGAGTCAATACCTTTTTTTCAGTTTGATCGCTTGTCAAGTTTCTAAAATTCGTTCTCTAAATCAGTTTTGACTTCTTTAAAAGCAAATTTTGATGATCTTTCTGAAAAAAGAAGCATTTTTCTTTAAAACTATACTTTACACAATCAGTTTGCTTTTGAAATTATCAATTTTGAGAGCCTTAAAACATTGTTAGTCAAGCTTAAAAATCGCGAGAGTTTGAGGGAGTTGCGTACGATTGAAAAAACATTAAAAAGGCACTTCAAAAAACAAATTCCTCTTTAAAACAACATATAAAAGCTAAAAATAAACGAATTTTCTAAATTTGAGTTTCATTTTGATTTATCTCGAGAGAGTTTTTATTATAAAGATACGTCTATTAAAGCGGACAGAACTTTTCAGCCATCCTGTAGACTACTAAAGACTAGAGTGTGTTCCTAAGCAAGCGAGTAAGCAATCACTCGAGTAAAACTTGCTGAGTAATTTTTACTCGATTAATCAACGTTTTTGGTCGAGTAACTACGAAGTAATCCTCTTTACACGTCGAGTAAATTGAATATCTTTACATTTGAAGGAAATTTCCCACCAGATTCAGTTGAACAGTTGAATATCTTTAAAAGGAGTCGTGTATAATGCGGCGCTCGTGATTTTTGCGCCAATTTTTTGCCATAATTTTCCCTAAAAGTACGGCAATTTTTCCTAAGCGTGTGTTTTAAAGAAGTTTCGAAGAGGCATTATTCGCGAGGAACACACTTTAACCTATACCATTAAACGCAGAATTTGATGCTGATTCCGAATAGATATTCCGTTTTTGCTAAATGACAATCTGCCAATTACTATAGAATATAGTATTAAAAAAGTCGTATTAAAATTGATTTTTAAAAACGTATGCCTTTCCATTATTGTTGTTTTATGTCTGTCTTGATCGCTGATTTTAAAATTTTCAATTTCTTTCTTTTTCAGATGACTTCGGACTCGTGTTCAGTGGATGGGAATCCCATTTATCAATCATGTGATTGCGACATTCCACGATTCTTCTGTGCTCTAGCGAATATCAGCGGCTACTGTAGCACGGTTGCTTGGTTTCTAGTTCTTCTGCCCCAAGTAATACGTAATTTTCGACATCGAACAGTCCAAGGAATCTCACTCGGATGGGCAATCCTCAATTTCACGGCCGCTTTCAACAACGCGTTTTTTGTTTTCAAATTTGGTGGAATGCCGTGGTACGTCTATGGTTCAGCTGTCTACATGCCGATTTTGGAAATCCTCTTGCTAATTCAATTCTACATTTTCACGCCTGCTTCAAGGGCTAAAAATATTGCGGCTATTTTGTTGGTGCCAGCATGGATTGGTTTAGCGATCATTCAATCGGTTTTTGACGTCTACAAACAATTGGAATGGCTGTCAATTGTTTTATGGTCGGCTGAGACGTTTCCCCAGGTAATCATTTCATCTTTTTTATTGGGTTGAGGAGAATGAAATGATGCCGAATTTTAAAAACATATTAAGCCTTCTTTAAATACACGTTTTATTTCCTCAAAAAAGGTTTACCATTTCTCTGGAAAATCACTTTTGATAGATTGCACAAAGGTTTTGTTTTGTGAAGTTTATGGACTCCTAAACAAAGCTCGTTAAAAAAAAAGAAAATGACATTTAAAAGAGAACTCAAACAGCGCTTTAGTTTAACAAAAGGCCATTTTTTCCACAAAATCTATTATCTAGAGAAAAGGAATCTTTCTGAAAATTTGGCAACTTATGTATTTGAGTGTGCTTTATCTTTTTTATCTAGACATCAAAGGAGGTTTATGTGGAAGAAACTGTTCAAACGATGAGTTCAAAGGACTCTTTGCCATTTTAATTAGCTTTGTTTAGGAATTCATAAACTCCACAAAACCTTTTTGAGGAAATAAAACCTGTATTGCTTTTAAAATTCGGCATCATTTAAGGCATCCGTTAAGCTCCTTGAAAAAATGGAGCCGCCGATAGTCTCCGGGGCCTCCGCTAGTAGGAAAGATCCGTCATTTTGTAGAGAATTCGTTAACCTTTCTATTCATATCAAATGCGTATCATTTGACGAAGTTTGCTAGAAGTTTTAGAACTGTTAAGTTTTGGTGAAAGATGACTTCGAAGTGTGGCAGCATTGAAAAAATGATGCAAAAATTGAAAGAAAGGAATATCAATTAATTACATATTTCAAGTTTTCATAATCTAAAAAGAAACGGAAATTTTTTGAATTTTCATACTATGATACTTTATTTTCATGCGATAGAGCTGTTTCAAAGTTCTTCAAAGCCGTTTCTCTTACTCAAAAGACGTCTAAAATCGATGACTTTAGATCTTCCTGAACATCAAACGTCGATCCACCTATGGTTTGGCAAATATGTCGGTGACGATTACGGCTGTCGGGAAAACGACTGATTTTATGCAAAATTATCTACTCATCATGCCCATTCAATATGTAATTATGGCTTTCTTCTCAAGCACTGTGGCTCAGGTTCAAACACTCCAAGTAAGTTCAAAGTTTTCTTTCAAAAACAGCCGCTAAATCGCTCTAATAGTCGGCTTCTCTTGCTGGAAAAGTTAGAGATTTGTGTAGCTGTTATAGCGGGAATGCCCAACTAGACACATAGCATATAGCAACGAACGTGTGTACCAATTGATCATTGAATTGATCACTAAACATTGATCAATAAAGTAGGAAATGCTATATCTTGACATAGAGAAGAGCTTTTTAAAAACGTTTAATTTGTTCATCCCGAGTAGAAAGAAAATCAGTTAAAAAAGTTATAAAGAAGTTTAAAAATTTATAGGTTTTATGGTATTGGAAGAAGCGCCCAATCAACGAAGCCTGTGATGGTCCGGTTGATGCTGAATCTCGAATCACAACTCAGTGCAATGTTTTACGAGTTTTGGGATACATACTTTTTGGCTCCGAACTCGTCATTTTTATTGTGGCTTTGATCCTTCGAACTTCACGATGGTGGCTGATTGCTGCACCCATTGTCACCTATACAATTATTGTGGCATTCTATCTCTACGATCGACAATTGTCTCCAACGCCAGTTCGAATTGCAGCTGAAAAAGACGAAAATCAAGAAAGAATTGCTGATTTTTAAATAAATAAAGATTCTAATTGTAAGTGGAAATAAAGTGTTAGCAAAGTTGCTTAGTTGCTAATTGTAGGAGGAAATAAAGTGTTAACAAAGCAAAGCAAAGCAAATCAAAGTTACATGGCCAAAGAACTTACAATTTTCGAAATCTCATTTGAGGCAACTAAATTCTGATACTGTTCTCTTTGAAAACTTGATTGAACGTAAATTTAGCGACAGCCAGCCTTTTAAAATTCGCGAGCCGACAGCCAGCCTTTTAAAATTTACACATCACAAAATTGTTCTATTAGGGTGGTAGGAATGAAATCTCAAATATCTTTTCAAAAATAAAAGGATTGCAAGCCTCAACCAATAAGTGTTGTATACTATTAGAAAGCCCTGAATCTCCTCTACAAAATAGGACAAAAAGATTTTGAATTGAATTGATTGTTGGGGACTTGGGTGTTAAAAAGAAACCGCAGGTCGAGTCTCAACCTGGGCATCTGCGCCTGCTGTCAACTATCGCTTCCACAGATCTTTTCGCCTGAAATTTTCGAATTGATTATTGGGGACTTGTGTGTTAAAAAGAAACCCTGAGAAACCAATTTTAACACATATCGTGACTCGATGCCGAGTCACCGTTTGGACCAATGCTGAATGCTGAGTCACGGCTGTTTCTTGTGAATGGTTGGAACAAATGAGCTGAAAATTTGTCAGGACATGTAATTCTGGATCCTTTTTTCGAATTCGGCATTAGTTTTATTAGGAAGTTGTATGATTTTTCGTAAAAAGTGGAAAAACCGGGTGTTACCTTGGAGTCTATGGCCAAGTCGTCTAAGGCCCGGGAGGCCAATCTGAGGCTCTAATAGGGGGTTGTTGGTTCGACTTCCCCCGAGCGAGAACGCTTTACAAAAAACATTTTCTAATAGTTTCTAATACTTTAATTGAGTAGCTACAAAAATCAAGTGTTAAAATTGAAAGAAGTTTTGAAAAATTAGTGTTTCTGAATTTTCTAAAAAGGGTTTTGTAAAGGAAATTTTTTGTGCTTTTTTTCGTGTCGGAAAAAGACGCCGTCTGGCACACTGCCCAGGATATAAGCTCGGGAATCGGGTAATTAAACCAGCTGCAAAAGACGGCGTTATTAGCGGGTATATTAGCGGAATATTAGGGTATCTTAGCGATTTTCAAGCGAGTGGCATTTGGCTGAATAAATTCAAGAAGCGTCACGGAGTTGTTTTTCCAACTCGTTTCTACCAACTTGGTTCCAAAATATATCGCAAATTAGTCAAAAATCAATGGTTATTTGTTTCTATACAACGAATTTCGATAAAGCGTACACTTCGATACAACAAACGCTTCGTCTCTTGCAGTTCATTGTATCGAAGTTCGACTTTACAAAGATTGGTGCAATTCGACTCCGCGAATTCTTCTAATTTCACTCTTTTTCTTTCTCGCTTTTGTCTTCTATTACCTTCACTTCACAGCTATTTGAAAAATCACAATTATGAGTTGAAAAAGCACGGGTGGAGTTGGAACTCTTGACCCTCAGCTGATTGTACAACCACTCAACCATTTGGCAACCTATGAACCACTCCGCGAATTCTTCTAATTCCACTCTTTTTCTTTCTCGCTTTTGTCTTCTATTACCTTCATTCCACAGCTATTTGAAAAGTCAATAAATATTTCAAATGTTTAAATATATTTCTAGATATTTCTAGATTTTCGACAATCTTATTTGGGGTTTAAAAATCATTGGGAAAACCCCGTGCTTATCAATGCATTCAATCAAAAAAAATAGTGTCTGGGAATCTGGTTAACATAAAATGAATGAGCTTTTTAGATAAAGAATTATTCTTTTTTTTTATTAAAAGCTTGGAAGATGTGCTCAAAAAAACCCTTGACACGCAACATTATTCAAGCTCTTTCTATCGGGTTGGTGAATTAAAAACTGCGGAACTTTGAACTAAAATTTATTCAACATAAAACCATAAATTCATTCCAAATAATTTCCATTATTATTGACGACTTCTGCCCATTTTACAGGCAATTTGCGGATTCCTTTTTCGTGGTAGGATTTTGGTTTTGAATCGAAAAACTTTCAAAGCCAATTTTTGACTGCTTCTTCCGAATCGAAGTGTTCTCCCGCAAGCTCATTATTCATGGTCCGGAATAAATAGTAATCAGAAGGTCCGGACTGTATGCGGAATGCGCCAAAAGTTCCCAAACAAGGCTATTTATTTTAGAGCTTTGCAACATGAGGGCGCGCGTTGTCGTGGATGAGAACGATCTTTGACTTGGAGGGCCTATTCTTCTTCAGAGATTCATTCACCTTTCCCAACTGTTCACTGTATTTGATTGCATTAAGGGCCCTCTTGCTATCCAGCAACTCCCAGTACACCACTCCCTCCATATTTCAGAAAACGCAGAGCATAAACTTCTTCTGGTGCAAATCGGGCTTAGGGTCACTTTCGGTTGGTTGGTGAATTGAAAACTGCGGGACTTTGAACTAAAATGTATTCAACATAAAACCATAAATTCATTTCAAATAATTTCCATTATTATTGATAAATTTAAGCTTTAAGAGTAAGATTTGGATAATTCTTAAGTTAACTTTGAGATTAACTGATGAAATTTACCAGTTTCAAGAAAAATTCGTCGAAGAAGCCGATTCAGAGCTCTATCCAGATCCAGATATCCAGAGCTCATAAAAACACCACACGGTTGAAGATTTTTGTTGAAAAACACTTGTTTTAAGCTTTTTAACCAGAAAAGTATCAAATAAACCATGTGAGAGCGCTTAAAACCTTTTCATGAAGTTGCAGATTGAGTTGTTTTGTTGTTTTGGGTTGTTTTGGGCGCATCTTCTAAGCCTTTAATAAAAATCTCAAAAGCATCCTACCATGTGTATAAAGAAATCCTCCGTATTACCTTCATTTCACAGCTATTTGAAAAGTCGATAAATATTTCAAATGTTTAGATATATTTCTAGATATTTCTAGATTTTCGACAATCTTATTTGGGGTTTAAAAATCATTGGGGAAAACCCTGTGCTTATCAATGCATTCAACCAAAAAAAGGAATAGTGTCTGGGAATCTGGTTAACATAAAATCAATGAGCTTTTTAGATAAAGAATTATTCTTTTGCAATAGCAGTGATTCATTGATTTACTTTGAAAATCTACAAATCATTGTTCACAGATTGGAAACAAGAGATCTCAAACTGTTTGTTTAGAGGATTTTGTGCAATGCTCAAATTTTGTGCAACGCTGGCATTGACTCATTTTTATTTTGATAATCCTATTTATCTCATTCTAAATGTGATTTTTATCAATTTCAATTCTTGAATGATTAAAGCCAATTCTCGGAAGTTTGTTGACAGACTCGGGTCAGGCATTCCAGTGTTACTATAGGAGTAAGACATACACAATATTAAGGATAGATTCTCTCGATCTCTCGATAGTTTCATAGTAAAAATTGAACAGATCAGCATACAATCACTAATTTAAGTTACGTTAATGATTAAGTGAAGCATAGAGTAGAGAAGACTAAGTTGTATATATAAAATATTTACCGTAAATACTTTAATAGTATCCCACCACCTCGTACAGTCGCGTAGTCGCAAAAGTTTTTTAGTATTTCATTTTTTTTCAAAGCACCCGTACTTTCAAAAAATACGTCTTTAGTATCAAAAAATAGCCCTGAATCTCAGCTTTCGTTTGATACCTAAACGCGCATTGTAGCATAAACCAGTGTCGAGAAAAACTCGTTCAAAGCTAGACTAACACTCCGCACCGTCATTATGGGAGTGGGGTACTATTACAGTATTTATGGTAGTTATTTTGGTCATTGCGGTTAGAATCGTTTAGTAACAATTGCTCATCTTTTCCGGAGAAGTTTGTAAACTCGAGAATACTATTATTATAGGAAAACTCTATCAGAAAAAATTTCAGACACTAGTCAGTCTTAATTTTCGTTTATTCTAGAGCTAAATCACAAACTGGACAGATGATGGCTATAAAATTTTGGCCAAATTTTGTTATGCAAAGATTTTTGACCCAGCTAAGCTCAATAATAGCTTGAAATTACTTTCCCGATCGAAACGAGTCGGAAATTCATCTAAGTGAAAGGTATTTCTCGTGTTTTACTAGCTTATTAATATTCTAAACTATTTGTGAAATATCGAGCACTCAGCCTAAACCCTTTCAAAATAATAAGTGTCATTTTTCTCCGGTTTTCCCCTCTCGTTGTTATCAGCTGTATTTAGGAGTGTTCTCTCTCAATAGATTGACCTCATTCCATAAGGTATCGATGAATGTTATAAGCTATTGGGTTGAGGAGAATGAGTCGGCGCCGAAAATGAAAAAAATGTCTAAAACTTCTATTCGACTTCGTCAAATAATATGCGTTTGATATGAGTAGAATGGTTAACTAATTCTCTACAAAATCACATTTAAAAGAAAATTCAAACAGCGCCTCCGCTCAAGAAAAAGCCATTTTTTCACAAAAACTACAAACTGTGATCTAGAAAAAATCATTGGTGGGATCTTCCTGCAAATTTGGCAACTTAAGTAATTCAATGTGCTCTATCTTTTTTATATAAACACCAAAGAAGGTTTATGTGAAAGAAACTGTTCAAATGATGAGTCGGACTCTTTGCCATTTTAACCAGCTGCGTTTGGAAGTTCATAAACTCCACGAAAGAAAAGCTTTGTGGAATCTCTCAAAAGTGATTTTGTAGAGAAATAGTGGATCCTTTTGATGAAACCAAACGTATGTTTAAAGAAGGCTTTATGTGTGCAAAAAGTCCCTTTAAAGTTTGGCGCCGACTCATTCTCCCCAACCCAATATTTGAAAGTTGTAAATCTCCTCTACAAAATAGGCTAAAACGTGTTTCAATTGATCGAGCCATTGAAGAAATTTCGAGGGCAAAATGCGAGTGACCAAAAAAGGGCACTTTTTGAAAACCCCACTTTCACAAGAGTTCGGTTTTGACTATATAGTGGAAAATATCATTTAAATCATTT